TTTTCATTCGTTCTTCGCTGTTTTCGCTTTTTCGAACTGGTCCACGGAGTTTTCCGTGGTCCATGTTTACTTATAACTTAATAGAATTACACCTAATACTAAAAATGCTTGGATTAACAATGCTGATTAACTGAGTAGAGGTGAGTAACCAGCCAATTCGTGGTATCCATATAGGTGATATTCCCGCGAAAGTCCTCTCGGTTGATTGCATACCCGTTATAGGGCTGTCAATCAAGAGGGAACTTTTACTTCCGGCCAAAACGTAAAACCTCCATTTCTCCGCCAATATTTAGTTTTTTTCAATTTTTTTTTCAGAAATTAGAGATTACTCTTCGACCATTACTTTGACCCGAAAATCCAAATTTGAAGAAAATTGCCGATCTGAAGGTATACGATAACCTTAAGTTAGCTCAAAACAGTTTCCAGCACTTAGATTTTGATGGGTCGTTACAACCACTCTTTATCACTTGATGCTACAATCATGGTATCAAAAAACTGCCCAATCATTGATGAACACGTTGTCATCACTTTCGTGACACAATAACTTACCATAGCAACAGTATGACCTCCTAGAAACACACTTAATCAGAGCTTTAGGGGTTTAAAATTCAAAAACGGCACGGTGAAAATTTTTTATATTATCAACTCTTTTGATAAGCATGATAAGACGCAACTTTTGGCAAAGTTTAAAAAAATTTTGTAGGTGGGGTTCAGAGCCACCTTAAATTTTCGAAAATTGAAGGTGGCTTTGAAATCCCCCCCTCCCCTCTGCAAAGTAAGTGTTGGAAACTGTTTTGAGCCACATTAAAACACCCTTCTGAAAGCGGACTCTTCTTCTTCAGCTATGCTTAAACAAGCTCTGATAGCACAAGGACATCTCTTTCCACAGGATACTTTTCATTTCCGCCAATTACCCTGACCGAACCCAAGGTGGCTCCGTGGTTATTTCAGGCGCCCTCGTCTATGACAAACTTTGGACCATATAGCTTTTTCGGACTTTGCGCATGGTTAAAAAACGTTGGGAACATTTTCCCTTTGATTCGCTTGGGTCGGGGGAGAACGGGGACGACCATGCATAATAATACCACAAACACGCATTTATGCACTTGACTAAAAAGAAACTGGGAAAACATCTGAAAGATTACCTCTCCTCGGCTCCAACTGTCTCAAATTTCCGCAAGATTTTGTTCATGTATACATCTCTGATATGAAAGGAACGATAAAATGTCAGAAAAAGAAAAAAACAATTTATGCACGGAAAAATGCTAAAACCTAAAGAGCATTACAGGCAATTAAGTTACTTAGCTAGTGGGCACGACTTGTTACTATCCACCCAGCAGAATTTCTACAACATTTTTGAAATAACTATCGTAATTTTTTCAAAAGTCATTGTAAACGAACAATTTTCATTGCACCCATAAAATTACGGATGCCCTGGAGAAATAGTCAGTATATGCATGTTGCTAGCAATTGATCACCTGTTGGTAACAACGTCATCCCAAACACCGATTGAATGGAGCCTTGGATCAGGTAATCTTGAACACCACTTGTCCAATAATGACACTATCGGCAGCACACTTGAGAAGTTCTCTGTAAATTGTTAATCGTTACAGAAAGCATGAATATGTCATGCTGTATTGTAGTCTCCAGCTATATCATGTAATACACAAAGGAGCATTTAACTCTTTCAATGGCCAGTTAAAGGAAGTTCTTTCTGTTAAACAACTGCTCTTTGTTTATTTGTCTTTTTTTTTTTGGAGGTGCTAGTTATAATTATTCCTGTTATATTCCTGGATCTAATTTGTAGAACAATTTTCAACTAGGTCGTGTCCTCTATTTAAACTGTAATCAACAAGTAATCAACCCAATGTACATCGTACATTTGCTCCAGAGTGAGATACTTATCTCTGAGAAATGATGAGATATTTATTGCTTTTATTAAAAGGTTTAATTGTTTCTTTGTGTGTTTCTATCAATTACACTGTTTCTGAAGTTCAAAGACGCTTCAGATATCACCTTGTGTCAATAGCAGTCCTACAAATCAGATTGTAGATGATTTATGAATTGTTTCAATGCTCTGTAGCCAGGTTTTTTTCATATACGGAGAGACGGCTATAAAGTAGTATTACTACTGACCTTCCTTTGCAATAAATTCAAGGAACTCTTGCATTTCTGTCATTTTCTGTAATGACTGTAGTTTGGCAAAGCGACTAGCAGACATCATAGGGTCCAGTCCTGCCCAGTCCTGGAAACGTGTACACACTCCGTCGTACAGTATATCAACGTGATTAATGAAGATTTACAAATCATAATCATAGGTGATATATCTATTTCAAGGGGCTATATACTTCAGTACTTATGTGACGTTTGCCAGTGCTATAAGTATAGGAAATCGTAATTGAACGCGAGTGCATTTCGTGATTTATGGGCACGAGTGATGTTTTGAAAGTTCTCAAAATTGCACGAGCCGCACGCAAGTGCAAGTTGAGCACTTTCAGAACATCACCAGTGATCATAAATCACGAAATGTACGAACAGGTTCATACGATTTTTATTTAAAATCATCTCGACAAAATTACTCAAACGCACTACATAAAACGCTTCAAAATACTCGCATGCTTTATTTGAACCAATCAGAAAAGTAATGTTGTGACAAGCAAATCAAGTGCGAAGTTTAAAAAGAAGTGTGAAATTTAAAAAGAAGTGTAAAAAAACTCAGAAAATATCTTGAAAGCTAAATTTTCAGTTTTTAAAAGCGGCAAAAGTCCGCAAATCTGTTTTCAATTGTTCAACCTCAGTCGGCCTCTGTGACTGCACTGCCCCAAAACCAGGTGAAAGGTGTTCACGGCGAAAGCTCACACGATGTCGTTGCAGGAAAAGACTAAATTGGTAGACCAGGAGAACTGCTGGAGAGTCATGCTGATAATGTTTGAAAGCTGATATTGTTCGTTATCGCTTCATTTATCGTTGCCGTTAATAAGAGACTTCACTTGCGTGGCCGGTCACTCGGATTATCGAATGCCCCTCAACGCTTGCGTTTCTGTGTTTCTTTAATTTCTGCTTGCTTGTTTTCAGAGGTGTGTTCTAAATAATCCTGTTCGTCATGTTGTCGATGCTGTTTACATCGAGCCTCTGTTTCTTGTACCAGAGATCTGTTTTATGGTTTTCAAATATGGCAAGGTAAAAGGACCGTGCTCGTATTCTTCCAGTTTTTGGGTTTAGTTGTCTTTCAATCGCCCATTCAACCAGGTTTGTGCAGCTTTCAACGAATTTTTTTTCACATTTTCTTAAAGTTGCTCAATGATGTTTTTGGCTTAACAAAGCAAACTACTCTCAGCCATTTTTTTCACTTTCACTTTTTTCACTTTCAAATTTGGCGCTTTCCCGGTGTTTCCATAGCTTCCTTTAGTGTTTTCTGTTTTTAGTGTCAGTTTACGTTTTCGCTCATTTCCCTAAGTCTTTCAATAAATTCATCGTCAGTTTTCTCGATACGTGACGCGGTGACGTTTACAAAACAATAGCAAAGCAGTCATTTTCAAGTAACCGTTTTCAAGTAATTCCTTCTAGAGAAGGGAAAATTAAGAAAAATGCCCTTTGTCTGGGCCAGTGAGAATTCGGTAATTTGCCTTCTGTGTTGTAAATCCACAAAATCGTGATGGTACGTTCCACTTTATAAAAGAGACAAAATAAAGCTGCATACTACATCAGAGAGCCTAGACAAAATTACTCACCGCGAGGAAGTTCTGTTCATAGTTACCAGCATAGTAAGATGCCATGTCATAGTCATCATGAAGAACGTACAATAGCGCTAAGCTATCACTGTGACGACTCTGAAATAAAAACAATACGTCATTCGTTAGTCGAGGGAAGTCATTGCATATTTAATCCCAGAGCGCGCGTTGGATATGAGATGGTAGATAGCCAAAGAGGCTATCTCATATCCAACAAGGGCGAGTTGAATAATCGTTTTATTAAAAACACCCCCAAATATAGAAAACTAAATAAAATAAAAACGCCACCCGGAAATTACGCGCACGCTTACCATATTTGTAAGGCATGGTGCAATTGCCCCTACACCATGATGGCTCTTAAGAGCTTCTGCCTGAGAGACCGGGGCACACTTGGAAATGAAGGTTGGCCGATTTCGCTTAAAATTGGTACACAAAGTCGTCATGTGGACTTATGTAATATGCCAAAGTTTCAGGTTCAACGACCATTTTTTAGCCGAGTTCTGGGTATCAGCCCCTCAGGGGTCCCCAGAGGCTGATTTTTAGTGTAATTTTGGCCACTTTTCATTCTCTCTTTTAGCAACGTACAATTAATTTCAG